AAAGTCACCCAGCTGCCTTTCATGGCTAATGCAGGACTAGAACTCACGGTCTCCTGGTGACTGGCCCTAAGTCACCCAGCCGTTTTAATAAGGAAGAAGACAGAGATGGCTCCTCTAACAAATATCAATCTAATCTAGAAGCTCACAAATGGTACACAAAAGCTTTGAACCCGGCAGGATATTATTTGCTAAATGTTGTTAATTGTTAGACTGGAGCTGCAGAATCAAACGGGCTTTCAGTTGGAAAGAAACCAGGGGGGGAAAAAAAACAGAAAACAGGGGAACGCGTTTTTGCAGGAAAATCTTTCCCATCCTTTTAATTTTTTATTCTTTCTTAAAAAAAAATAATAATCCCCGAATGGTCGCAGCCTCGCTCACCTTCGTTACCTTTTCCTCCATTCTGGTTCCTTTCGCCCTGCGTTGCAAACTTCCCGCTCCCCCCTTTCTCGGTCGCTGGCCAATGACGTCATCGGAAATAGAGGCTCTTGGGAGTTGTAGGCCGGCGGTCGGGGCTGCTTTCCTCTGCAGCCTCAAATAACCCCGTGTAAGGAAAAGAAAGGGCGAGTCTTTTTTTTTTTTTTTGCCCTTTAGGTGAAGAGTCTGACGCGAAATAGAAGAAAAAATAAAAATAGAACTGAGAAGGGTAACTGCTTTAAAACACTTGGAGCCAGGTGGATGTCTCTCACTGTCCTTGATCAAGTTAGATTATTATTATTTATTCTTATTGTCTTCTTTCCTCGTCCTTTTATTGGTGTGATGATGGTGGTGGTGTTGCTTTGCATGTACATTGTGTGCTTTTTCCAAAAATGCTTTTTTCAGGAGGCAACTGGACTTTCTGATTTTTCTTTGAAGACATTTCACTTCTCATCCGAGAAGCTTCCTCAGCTCTGACTGACTTCTTCAGCAAATGACCAGCTGTCTGCCAGGAATATGAATCCTTCCCTTTCCCGCTATCCTGGCAGAGTTGAAGAAGCTTCTTGAATGAGAAGCGAAATATCTTCAATAGAAAAAAACAACAAGAAAAGTCCAGTTGCATCTGGAAAAAGCACCTTTGGGACAACCATGACCTGGAGGACTGAGATTTTCTACAGACTTTTAGCTATACAATATGTGATGGACACTCTTTGAATGGTGTGGGAGTAGGAATGGACTTCCAGAGGAAAAAAATTGCAGACTATAGGAACCAAGAGAACTACCCAGGAGACCCTGAGGACACAGATAAACCTCCAAGTGCTTCAATTTAATCTGAATACTGAGGTTTTAGTTTAGAAAAAAACAACTCATACATTAACTTTTGTCATAAAAGAAAAACACAACAACAGAGCTTTCAATGATACAAACAACTTTTTATTTGAAAGGTAAAAGTTTGCATTTGGCATGCTTTTAAACAATTAATGTGATTTTTGCTATTGCCTGCATGCTTATAATTTGTTTATCCTTGGCTCATACTTTGTAAGTTTGAGAGCAACACATGCAGCACTCAGGTCATCTGTTGGTCTGTTTCTGGTATCAGATTTGAGATAATTCAAAGCTGAAAAGAACTGCTCACAAGCATAAGATGATCCAAACAAAGGAAAGCAATCCCAAGTGCTTTCATTGACTTAAAAGTAATTGGCAGAGAATTCCACAAGGATTTCATTTTTTGTTGCTAGAAATGGGCCTCTCCTCTCACGTCTGCTGTTGGGTAAAGGACTTTCTTACTAACAGACCTCAAACTGTTAGGATTGGCAGCTATTTTTCCTCCACTCTTGCTCTCAGCACTGGCTCTCCACAGGGTTGTGCTGAGCCCCCTTTTGTATTCACTTTACACCTACAACTGGACTCTCTCTTGTCCCACTAACTCTATAATAACATTTGCAGATGACACCTCGTTGGTGGGACTCATATCAGGAGAAGACGAGACGGCCTATTCTCAGACTGGTCTTGTGGTGCAAGAGTCATAACCTTGCCCTGAACATCAAAAAGACCAAAGAATTGATTACAGATTTCAGAAGATGCAAAGCATAGCCTCTCCCACTATATATCAATGGAGACTGCGTGGAAAGAGTTCATAGTTTTAAATTTCTAGGAACTCATATTTCTGACAATATTGGTCAGTCTACACTATGGCCACTGCAAAGAAGGCCCAACAGCGCCTGAACTTTCTGAGGCTGCTGAAAAAGAGCGGTCTGGGTGAGAGGTTGCTAGTTACTTTTTATCGGTCTACTATCGAGAGCATTTTGGTATACTGTGTAATGGTGTAGTATGCTGGATGCTCTGCAGTGGATAAGAAGATGCTCCAGAGAGTTATAAACACAGCGCAAAAAATCATCGGTTGCTCTCTTTCTTCTTTGGAAGAGATTGCGAAGACCGGACTCCTCTCTAGAGCACTAAAAATCTCCACAGACGGTTCTCCTCCTGGACATTCATATTTTGAACTGTTACCATCAGGGAGGCGTTATAGGTGTCTTAAAATGAGGACTAATAGTTTCTTTACCAAGGCAATAATTGTCTTGAATCAAACAATACATATATGATTTAGCCCTATGTATTTGGTGGCATTTTTTAAACTATCTAACTTACATGTTTTAGATAGATTTTAGACTAGGTTTTTAATTATTATTTTAATTATTTTATTTTTTAAAAACCCTGTTGTGTGATTGTGATGTGGTGTTTGGGACACTGTGCTGGAGTAGCTTTCAAATTTCATTGTATTTGTAGAATGCAATGACAATAAAGGTATTCTATTCTATTCTATTTTCAGAACTAACTGTGCTGTCCTTTCATCCTTTCTATCTTTTCAAGTGTTTACGCAGGTTATAGAATTTATTTTTCCAGAGAGAGGTTTCTTGAAATTCTATTAGCTCCATTTCCATATTTCCTAAATCTAACCAGTCTAAGCAGGAAATATCAAGTTCTTCAAATTCGGCTTTCCATCTTACGGAACTGTAAAAATCTGTTACTAAAATTCACCTTTGCAGCTACTACAATGCTAGAAAATTCCTTGTAGATTTCCTGATGGCTTGTAGAATTGTCTGCAAATCTTGTAGAATTTTTTAAATGCATTTTTAGGTGTCCAAGGAGCTGCCCAAGGAGCTGCTGATACAGTTCTACAGAGGAATTATTGAGTCTGTCATCTGTACCTCTATAACTGTCTGGTTTGGTTCTGCAACCCAACAAGACAGACAGACTTCAGAGAGTAATTAGGACTGCAGAAAAAACAATTGCTACCCACCTGCCTTCCATTGGGGACCTGTATACTGCATGAGTCAAAAAGAGGGCTGTGAAAATATTTACAGACCCCTCACATCCTGGACATAAACTGTTTTAACAGTTTCCCTCAGAATGATGCTATAGAGAACTGCACACCAGAACAACTAGACACAAGGGAGGTTTTTTCCTGAGCGCCATCACTCTGCTAAACAAATAATTCCCTCAACACTGTCCAACTATTTACTAAGTCTGCATTACTATTACTATTAATCTTCTCATCACTCCTTATCACCCATCCCCTCCCACTTGTGACTGTAGGACTGTAACTTTATCGCTTGTATGCTTACTATTTATATTGACTGTTTCCTAGTATGATTGATTGCTTATTGTACCCTATGCCTATTATTAAGTGTGGTACCTGATGATTCTTGACGAATGTATCTTTTCTTTTATGTATACTGAGAGTATTTACACCAAGACAAATTCCTTGTGTTTCCATTCACACTTGGCCAATAAAGAATTCATTCGTTCATTCTATGCCACGCTATGAGCTATGCTCCCCTCCAACCCCACCATGGGAATCATTTTCACCACAGACTCAACAGGTTGCCGTCCGCAACTCATCCTCACTCCGCATGTGAGCTGCACGACTTACCCTAGACATGGGTAAAGGAAGCACTCGCATTGGGCTGCTGGGCGATGTGAGAAATGTCCTTAGGCCCATGTGGAGAGGGAAAAGATACCCTGAGGTTTTCCAGTAACATACTCTGGGAAACTGTGCTGGGGCGACGGTGAGGTAGCCTATAGAGAGGGCTCTGAGTGCCCCCTCTGGCACAAGGGTCATAGCTTCACCACAACTGGTATAGGGTCTTCTGCTCAAGCAGGGGTTTGGAGTAGATTATAAGGGTCTCCAACGTTGGCCACTTTAAGACTTGTGGACTTCAAGTCCCAGAATTCCTCAGCCAGCAGAGGAATTCTGGGACTTGAAGTCCACAAGTCTTAAAGTGGCCAACGTTGGAGACCCCTGGACTTCCAAGGTCCCTTCCAACTCTGTTATTCTGTTATTCCATTGCCTTCAATGCTCCCATATGTGGTCCCGAAGAGTCAGACTTGATGGCACATCACCTGAAAACTGGGAGGGAGGGGGGAAGAGAGAGGCTGAAACAATTGTCCCCCTTGAGAAGGGTATTTTGGGGGGAGGCTCCAAAAGGATATCCAGACTGTAATTTGAATAAAAGCATTACAGCATAGCGTTAAGCTAGGTCCTCATTTTGCTGGAAAGATAAAAGAGTTCATTCTTGGAGAAAAGAGCATGCAGCGATGAAGAAGCCTCGCTCTGCGCATGCTCAAAGGCCCTCTGCCTAGCAGGCGCAAGCCGTTGACAGGAGCGGGCCACGTGCTCCTCTCCCTTTCCTAGCGTGGGGGCGGCGCGTGCCACGCCCTCCGCCTATACGTCATTCTGGCCACGCCTCCTCCCGACGACCGCGCTTGAATTTTCCGGTCGGCGGGGTTTCTTTTAAAAGAAACGTAATTTTATATACATATAAATTGGGTTTTTTTTAAATAAAAAAACCGTCCTTCTGTCCCTCGAAACAAAAGAAAAAAGAAAAAAAAAGCAGAAAGTAAAGTTCTTACGGGGGAAAGAGCACGTCACGAGCGTTTGAATCCTGAGGTCAAACAACGTGAAGCGGTCCAAAGAAGCCCTTCCGGGTCGTCACCGCGGTAACGTTCAAGGTGCTCGAAGGGGCGTGGCCTGTGACGGTTCCCACCCTTCTTCGACCCCGTCGCAGGGGGGCGGAGCGGCGGCCATTTTGCTCTCTTCCCCCAGCGCGAGCCAGAGGCAGCCGCGGGTGCAGCGAAGAGCCAGAAGCCGCGTCGTCTCTTTTTCCGCCCGGCTCGCCTCGACGATGCTGTCCGTGCGCGTAGTCGCTACGCTCGCCCGGGCCTTGCCCCGCCAGGCCGGCTTGGTGAGCGATAGGGTGGGAAGAGCCGGTCTTGATGCAGCAGGCGCCGCCATCTTGGCTCCGGCCTGGCGGTGACATTGATGCGGCGGCGCCCTCCGTTGCTCCCCGGAGCCGCTCCGGGCCTTCTCTCTCCAGTCCTTTCCTGCGGCTCTCGCCGCTTCTCAGCCTCCCTTGCACGCCCGGGGCCTTTATCTCGGCCTGGTGGTGACCCCGGCAAGGTCATCCCTCTTCCGGCCAGGGTCGTCTCTGCAGCCGCCTCGCGGGCACCCCCGGATAGGAGAGCCGCTGGACCGGAGCGAGAAGCGTGCCCGGAGGCCGTTTAAACCCTGGTCAAGCCCCGGTGCCTTTTCTGGGGTGGGGTCGGGCGGGCTTGTCAGAGGAAGGTCACGCCTTTGATCTCTGGCCGTGGATGATGGGTGATGTGCTCCCGGCCACCTGAATGGAGGAGGCTTTGGATGGGGGCGGGGAGGGGGGGTGTTGTACCTGCCTCAATCCCGCCTGATGCGTTTTATGACCTTGGAGGTTTTCTTGCAAAAGATGCCGCCGCCGCCGCCGCCATTCATTACGGGTGGTCCTCGAGTTACGACCACAACGGAGCCCAAGATTTATGGTTGCTAGGTTGACTTGTTTGGTCAGTGAGCTTTGCCCCCATTTTACGACATTCCTTGCCGCAGTTGCTAAGTGAATCACAGCAGTTGTTAAGGTACTGATGCGGTTGTTCAGTGAATCTGGCTTCGCCATTGACTTGGCTTGTCAGAAGGTGGTAAAAGGTGACCGTCATAAATAGGAACCAGTTGCCAACGATATTGCAAAAGTCATCAATGCAAAAATGAAAAACAGTCAAGTCACCTTTATCAGTGCCGTTGTAACTTTGAATGGTCACTAAATGAGCTGTTGTAAGTTGAGGACTAGCTGTATCTATGGATCATCTATATTTTCTATGAAATAAAGGACATTTCTGCACTGCAGGCTTGTTCTCTTGCTGTCTGCCCCAAAAGGCCAGTTTGCAGCTCTTAACTTAGCATTTGCTCCTTTTGTTTCAAAATCTGGAAGCGGGGAGCTGCAAGTCTTGGCTTTCAATCTTTATTGAATAGAATGATCAGTCTTTTTTTTTTTACTTGTTGCACCCTTTTGTGCAATTTTGACTAATGCAGTGTTTGCAACCATGACTTTGCTGCTACAATGGAGTCAGTTCTTGTAGGGTTTTACAGTAGTCCCCTATAGTAGACTTATAGTAGACTTACCGCAATTGACCCTAAAATTTATGTTAAGTGAAAACGTTTAAGTGGGCTTTGCTCCCATTTTACGACTTTACTTGCCACATTTGCATTGGTTAAGGTAATAACACAGCTGTTTAGATTCCCCATTGTCTTGGCTTGTCAGAAGGTCGCAAAAGGGGATCTTGGAACACATCATAAATAGGAACCAGTTGCCAACCGGCTGAACTTTGGGGAGGCTGCAAAGGTCATCAATGCAAAGTGAAAAACAGCTCTAAGTCATCTTTTTCAGTCTCGTCGTAACTTTGAATGGTCACTAAATGAGCTGTTGTAACTCGAAGACTACCTGTATGGATCATGTATAAGCCATATTTTCTAATGAAATAAAGGATTTTATTTTTGCTTGCACTCTGGGGACATTTCTGCACTGCAGGCTTGTTCCCTTACTGTCTGCCCTGAAGTGGGGAGCTGCACGCATTGGCTTTCAATCTTTATTGAAGAGAGTGATAAGCCTTTTTTTAAAAAAAACTTGGTGCACCCTTTTGTGCAATTTTGACTAATGCAGTGTCTGCAACCATGACTTTGCTGCTACAATGGAGTCAGTTCTTGTAGGGTTTTACAGTAGTCCCCTACAGCAGACTTACCGCAATTGAGCCTAAAATTTATGTTGTTAAGTGAAAACATTTAAATGAGATTTGCCCCATTTTTTTGACCTTTCTTGCCTGAGTTAAGTGAATCATTGCATTGCATGGTTAATTACATGGTTGTTAGGTGAAGCTGGTTTCCCCATTGATTTTGCTTGTCAAAAGGTTGCAAAAGGGGATTGCGTGACCTTGGGACACAGTAACGGTTATAAGTATGAACCAGTTGCCAAGGATCTGAATTTTGATCACATGATCATAGAGATGCTACAAAGGTGGCAGGTTTGAAAAATGGTCATAAGTCACTTTTCAGTACTGTTTAAACTTTGCATGGTCGCTAAATGAACTGTTGTAAGTCGAGGACTACCTATATAAGGGGTATTCCTTCAGGTGTGCTATGACTCAAAAGTCTGTGAGTCCATCCTTATTTTTTCCAGTTATTGCAGTATTGTTTAGTCCAAACCTTTTCTTCACCACAGGAACCACTCACCCCCCCCCTCCTTTTTAAATACCATTTGTGGCTGCGGACCACCAAGACTTAGCTCAGGATTTAAAGCACTAGACCGCCTCAAGCCTTTGCAGTACTCCCCGTGATGGCACGCAAATACATACCCCCGGGGGTTCCTAGGCCACAGGTTGAGAACCACTGGTTAGGTGCAATACGTAGTATGTTGAGTTGATGGTTAGCCCAGGGGTCTGCAACTTTAAACACTCAAAAAAACTATAAGAAAACATGGCGAGCCACAAAACCTAGGTGGGTGTGGCCAACTCAACGTCTCTTCCACCCAGTCACATGATCCGCCACGCCTACCCAGTGGCTTCCAGTGTTTTCTTTTTTGTGGGAAATGGGTCTCTCCTCCCCCCCCCCCCCCCCCCTTTGTTTTTTGAGTTTTACCTTCTCAGGCCAGGCAAGGAGTGATTAGGAGGGGAGAGCGAAGGGTGAGGCCAGCCAGTAAGTAGTGGGATCACCCAACAGGGAGCCACAGTAGAGGGCCCAAAGAGCCGCATGTGGCTCCAGAGCCACAGGTTGCTGATACCTGGGTTAGCCACTAAAACACATTACTTCTGAAATTCTTAAAACTGGCAGCAAATGTTTGAGATGCACTTTAAACAAAAGCTGCTGTGGGTCAGCACTGCAAAAACTACCCAGGTACACTTTAGATTTTAGACACAGGTATCCTTAAGATTCCTGTTTGGACATTACTAAGATTTTTCCTGAAGATTAAGGTAGAGAATGAGGGCTATGAATAAGCTGCTGCCCGAATGAGGATTGTGAGTGAGCAGCCTTTTGAAATAATTTACCTTAAAGCAGGGATCTTCAAACTTGACAGCTTTAAAACTTGTGGACTTCAACTCTCAGAATTCCTCCTCCAGTCATGTTAGCTCAGGAATTCTGGGAGTTGAAGTCCACAAGTTGCCAAGTTTGAAGATCCTTGCCTTAAAGCTTTGATCCAAAACTTTTGCAGAAACAGGAGATACTATTAAATGGTTTTTAAAAGTAAATCATACAACTTTTCATCTCTCTTGTGTCCTAAAAAGAAGAGAAAACCCTAACTGAACACCGCTCTTTAAAATTGCCTCTATTTTTTTCCTGGTATCCATGGCAGAGGGCAGACAGATGAACGCCACAAAAGACACAGTTGCTTTAAAGAGCTGGAGAGTGATATTTGTGTGCATCCTACAGAGCTCCCTTTTCCAATTATTTTTGAAGTACGGTAATATTCAGGTTCATTTTCTGTATTGCTAGCTACTGAAACGTAAATAAACAATTACTGTATTCAGTGCTTACCATGTGATTTTGTATATAGATAATGTATTGCAGTAAGGAGCTCTGGTCATAAATGATAACCTTTAACTAAAAATTTTGCAAGAAATATAAGATCTACGCTTCAGACAGGAGACCTTATGGTTTTTCTTCATCTTAGGTGTCACGGAATGCTTTCGGTGCATCATTTGTAGCAACAAGGAACTTCCATGACTCTAAAACAACTCTACAGAAAACTGGTAAACAATGTGCAATCTCATTTTTGATAAACTCTTGGCTTTATCTCTAAATTAAATGTGCTTTAACAGCTTTTTAAAGTTATTTGACATTTTGCTATTCATTCATTCATTCATTCAATCAATCAATTTCTGTAGCTGCCCAATTCAACCAAGTGACATTGCTTGACATGTTCAGAATATGGATGCTACTTGAATTCATGTCCCAGCAAGATTGAAGTAAAACTATTTTTTAAATTACCAAAGCAAAGCAAAATTAAGCGTGCTGTGTTCACTACCTAATTGTTCACCACCCCAGTTTGCTGGAATTTAACTAACTGTGCTTTATTTGAATTTCTGGTTTGAATAGAACCGTATTTCAGCTCTTAAAGTTGATCATGGCAAAAGTATTGTAATACGTTCTGAGTACTACTGCTACTTGTAAACTTTGTAGAATTAAGAGATGAAACTAATAAAGTATTTATAAGCTTAAGTACCCTATTCAGTTTGCCCACATTAAGTTTCATTCTATAGTTTTGAGTGTCTTCCACAGAGAAATTGGCTGTCTTAAAAATACCGAATTGGAATTTAGTTTATGTAAATAAGAATGTTCTCAATTAGCATATTCATTGTAGTAGGTGTATGTAGCTTTAATACAGGTGCAATCTGCACTTGTATTAAAGCTATATAATTTGATGTCATGGAGTGAGAGCCACGAAATCCCCAGTTCTCCAGATTTTTTTTTAGAACAATTGTTTGAAAGCAAACACAGCACACTCTGAAACTTCCAAATTTGTCTGCAGTAGAAAGTTTTTCAGTTTGCATCTTTGATTTTGTTTTCCTTGTTGGATGGAACTGCTTGTTGCTTGACTGACAAAACATGGGATTTAAACCAGGGTTACTTAAAAAGACCGCCTTAATATTGGTCTGTATTCTTCCAGGCACTGCTGAAGTATCTTCTATCCTTGAGGAACGTATTCTGGGGGCCGACACATCTGCTGAGCTCCAGGAAACTGGGCGCGTGCTTTCCATCGGTGACGGCATCGCCCGTGTGTATGGCTTGAAAAATGTTCAAGCGGAAGAAATGGTGGAATTCTCATCTGGGTTGAAGGTCAGTTTTCGCATCCATATTTGCATAATAAAACGTAATTGTCATGATTTGGTTTTCCTCTGCCCATCATATTACTGCGTGAAAGAATATTGCAGGGTATGAGTGATGGAAATGCCATTTCAAGCATCTAGAAGGTGCGCTGCCCCTTTAGCCTCTGAAGGTGGCTTTTGGTGTTAGTTGAAAGCCTTGGTGACACAGTGGTTAGAGTGCTGTACTGCAGACTACTTCTGCTGACTATCGGCTGCCTGCAATTTGGCAGATCGAATCTCACCAGGCTCAAGGTTGACTCAGCCTTCCAGCCTTCCAAGGTGGGTAAAATCAGGACCCAGTTTATTGGGAGCAATATGCTGACTCTGTAAAACCACGTAGAGAGGGCTGGAAAGCACTATAAAGCGGTCTGTACAGGTTAAGTGCTGTTGCTGTTGTTTTCTCTGATTGCTGACCATTAATATTTTCACTTGACAACATACATAGAATATATTTGTGGAACTATACCCTCATAGCAGTGCTCTCATATTTTATAATATGCAGGTGGTCCTTAACATATGACCGGTTGTTTAACGCACTGGTGATATTACTCAGTTTGGGAGTCATGAAACGCCTGCAAGAAACCAAACAAGCCCAGACATCAAGAACCTCCTCATTTCAACCTTCAGCTACAAATATTCTCTTTTATTGATGCTTTATCAGTGATCCTTTCAAGTTAGAATAGATCCTGGAAAAAAATCTTACAGCCTGGATGTGACGTTGTGGCATACATGGGGGTCCATTGTGGCCATTTTCAATGTCTCACGTCACATGGCTGCAATTCATGGTGATATTTATAGAAATTGTAGTTAACCTTCGCTTTTTGGTGGTGGTGGTGGGAACTCCCCAAAGTGAATAATGGTTTGCTTAATGGCCACCACAAAAAGTCATAAAATTGGTGACCTGCTTCATAACTTTCATGACTTGCATCCAAACTCGATTATGGCTCGATTATGGTCATAAGTTGAGAACTACTTGTTAATGTCGTCATTTGTGTGAATGATGCTTGTCGGGAACGTCCCATTGGATCGCTCTCATACGGGTGTTTCCTAAATGGAAAGTCTTAAACGGGTTTTCTCTCTTCTTAGGGTATGTCTCTGAACTTGGAGCCTGACAACGTTGGTGTGGTAGTGTTCGGTAACGACAGATTGATTAAGGAAGGTGACATTGTCAAGAGAACGGGGGCCATTGTGGATGTGCCCGTTGGGGAGGAGCTGCTGGGGCGTGTGGTCGATGCTCTGGGGAACGCCATCGATGGGAAGGTAGGTGCGGAAGGCAGATTGCTGTTACGTATGGGGATGTTGGCGAGGAGTTGGTGTGAACGTGTCTGTTGCCTTGCTTCACAGGGTCCCATCACTTCCAAAACCCGCAGGAGGGTTGGCTTGAAGGCTCCTGGAATCATCCCCAGGATCTCTGTCCGTGAGCCCATGCAAACCGGGATCAAGGCAGTAGACAGCCTGGTACCCATTGGCCGTGGGCAGCGGGAGTTGATCATTGGAGACAGGCAGACTGGGTAAGAAGGGTGATCCTTGTCTTGCTCCCAGTGATCCTGGCTACCGTGAGTTCTTAGCTTTTGGAATCTTCTTTACATGGGGATAAATGGAATCTTCTTTACATACCTGAGGACATTTGATTCAAAAACCTCCACGGACTAATGCAAAATGTAACGGTTTAGTTTGGTTTATTGTCATTGCATCTTGTACAACAAAATTAAATACCGTCTTCAGAGTACATTATGACTATGAAAATAAACACAAACACACACCCTTCACATTCTATACATTGAATTGAAAACCCCTGATATTGCATTAATATTGTACTATACCATAGAATTCAAAAGAGCTGCTGCCCTGGGATAGAAGCTGTTTTTCAGCCTATTGGTCCTTGTTTTTATTATTGTCCTGTTACCGTCTGCCAGATGGTAGCAGTTTAAAAAAAAGGATGCCCAGGATGAGATGGATCTTTGAGAATGTTTGAACTTTCTTAAGGCAGCGGGAGCAATCAAGCTCTTCCAAAGAGGGGAGAGGGCAACCCACGATCCTCTAGGCAATGACTTTAACCCTCTGGAATGCAGTCCTATCTGCCCCTGTGCAATTGGCAAACCAGACACAGGTGCAATAAGTTAAGATACTCTCTATGGTGCAGCGGTAGAAGTTTTTCATTTAGTTGTTCTTTCCTGAGAAGCCTCAGGTAGTATAATCTCTGCTGGGCCCTTTTGACCAGGGCTGCAACATGAGCGTCCCAGGTCAGGTCCTCTTTTACAATAACACCCAGAAACTTAGAACTGGCCATTTGGCTCCACTCAGTCTCCATTGATAAGGAAGGGCTGGAAAACCTCTTTTGGGATTGCTTAACCTTTCCATTGGAAAAATCCCCAGTTTTTCTCAAAACGGAATTTGCAGACACCGCTGAGTTAATTTGGAGCAATAGGATGTTGACTGTTAACGTATTCGATTTGCAGCAAAACTTCAATTGCTATCGATACCATAATTAACCAGAAAAGATTTAATGATGGAACTGATGAAAAGAAGAAGCTGTACTGTATCTACGTTGCCATTGGTCAGAAGAGATCGACGGTTGCTCAGCTGGTGAAGAGGCTTACTGATGCAGGTACTGGCATTCCATTCGCCCAAAGCTTTGTGCTTGCCCAAATGTGTTTGGGGCGGGGTATGTGTGTATGTGTGTGTGCGCGTGCAGAAATGTAGGCATTTCTTTCCTGGCTAAGCTGCTTCCACCTTCATTGACTTTGGTCATCTCCCTGTTTCAGATGCCATGAAGTACACGATCGTGGTTTCTGCCACGGCCTCCGATGCTGCCCCTCTCCAGTACTTGGCTCCTTATTCCGGCTGTTCCATGGGCGAATACTTCAGAGACAACGGCAAACATGCTTTGATCATCTACGACGATTTATCTAAGCAGGTTTGAACCCTGGGCTGGCCTCTGAATTTAAGGGACGGGGAGAGCCCATTCTCTCTTGAGACAGACCCTGCATCTATGCTCCCTTGATCAACAGGCCGTGGCCTACCGCCAGATGTCTCTCTTGCTGCGGCGCCCCCCTGGCCGTGAGGCGTACCCGGGCGATGTCTTCTACCTCCACTCTCGTCTTCTGGAAAGAGCAGCCAAAATGAACGATGCCTTTGGAGGGGGATCCCTGACTGCCCTCCCGGTCATCGAGACTCAAGCCGGCGATGTGTCGGCCTACATTCCAACGAACGTGATCTCCATCACCGATGGACAGGTAGCATCCTAAGGGACATGAAAGCCTCCAAGAAGGGCAATTGATCCTAGGTGTTCTTTTTAAAACCTGCACTACTTTGCTTTTGGAGTAGACCAGGGGTGTCGAACACAAGGCCCGTGGGCCGGTGCAGCCCCGAAAACCGCAAAGGATCAGTCTGCGGCGCTTGCCAGCAAGTATGGAGCTCAGGAGTTTTGCACACCCCTCCCAGACTCTGTTTTCAGCCATGACAGCTTCCTGCAGCCCTCCGCCAGCAAAACTGGAGCTGAGGGGGTGGGATTCAACGAGGGGGATCCCGGCACAGCTGATCATTGGAACAGCTGGTTGTCAGGAGGTGGAAAAAAAGAGAAATACCTTAAGGAGTGACTGGGCGGGGAAGAATGCAGTCAGCGATGTTGAGCATATGCGCAATGTTGCACATGCTCGATAAGGACTGGCTGGGTGGGGAGGGGAGGGCCAGGCAGGAGCAAGACATGCCAGTTCTCTGAACTGCGCAAAATCATAACAACCGGTCCTATAGAACCGGTCCGAAACCAGTAGAACCCCACCCCTGTGTGTAGCCCCCAGAGCTCCATTTTCGCTGGTGTGGGGCAGCAGGAGGCAGTCATGGCTGAAAACGGAGCTTGGGAGCCTGTTTTCACTGACAGCGCTCCTGACAACACCAAGCTGGCCATGCCCCCAACCCCCCACCCCCCCCACCCCCGTCAAAACCCTGATGCGGCCCTCAATGAAATTGAGTTTGACACCCCTGGAGTAGACAGTGTTACACAGTAAGGGAGTAAGGAATAGTACGTCAAAGAAATTAAAAGCATTTTTTTAAAGAAAAGGAAATACAGCTAAATTCAGTTTATACAGCTAGTCCTTGACTTACAACCACCATTGAGCCCAACATTTCTGATTCACTCAGAGATCTATCTTTCTGCAATCTGATACCTGAGCCTGCACTGAAAAATAGAAGCTTCAGTCCTAAGGAAGGTTCAGCTCTGCTTTTAGATTAGCTAGAAAGCAACAAATCCAAAAATGTCCTGCTTTCTAGCTAATCTAAGTTCGAACTGCCAAATTGCAGGCAGCCAACAGCCAGCAGAGGTAGCCTGCAGCATGGCATTATAACCACTGTGCTACTACAGCTCGTAAGATAAAACAGTTGTCTACATTCCATAAACTAGGAACTGTGTGGTACACCTGATAAATAAATTGGTCAGTTTGCTTATAATTGGTGCAGTTGGGAGACTGATTTTTAGTCCCACCTCAGGCATGCAAGCCAGCCAGGTGATTTTGGGCCAATCCCCAGGAGACACTGAATTCTAGTCCCTGCTTGGATGCGAAAGTTGATTTGGAATAGTCACTTCTCAGCCCAGCCTTGGAGGGTTGTTGTGGGGAAAATAGGAGGAGCAAGTATTAGATGTGTTCATCATCAGTTGTGTATAAAAATCATAAAGGTGGTAACTAAACAAACCCCTTCTCTGGCAGATCTTTCTGGAAACCGAACTGTTTTACAAAGGTATCCGTCCAGCCATTAACGTGGGTCTGTCTGTGTCTCGTGTCGGTTCTGCTGCCCAGACAAGAGCCATGAAACAGGTATGTCTAAAACAAACATGGAAAACTGGCATCGACCACTTAACGTGTTTGGGGCCTTGCACATACATTCCAAACAGTTTTCCCAGACTGTTTATAGGGCAATATAAAAATTGTGGTGCCAAGCATAATTTTGGGCCATCTTTTTATACTTGGTGAATGTTTCTGTAATTGTTCTAAAACAAGAGGGACAGGCTTTTAAGTTTAGGAAAGGCTGAATTGGCGCTTAAATCAGCTAGCAATTCAGGAGTTTTTGCCACCCCAAAAGGGCACCAGGTCTTATTTTGTGGCGGGGGTGTCTACTGTCTCACCCCATTTGTGCGCGTCACCCCTGGCCTTGTTATCAGAAGCCTTCAGAAACTTCTTCATCTGGCAAAGCCAGCAAGGCTTCCTGAAGGCCTCTGCAGCCGATAACAGAGCCCTGGATCGATCCGGAGCTCTGTTACTGGCTTCAGAGGTCTTCAGGAAAGCAAGGGTTGGATCCTAACAACCCGTTCTGTGAGCGTGCACTTTGCGCGCGCGTGCACAGTACTTGCAAAACGACTTCTGCAAGCAGTCACCATCTCCTGCTGATGTGCAGTACTCAGCTGTGTCGCGCAAAGCAACAAAGGTCAGAATAAAGGACAGCGTAAAGTCCCAGCGAGCGGGTGGGCCCAACCGAAGAAAAGAAGATCTTCAGAGAGAACCAGTTTGGTGTCAGCTGCTCTTCGGAGCTACCGGTTCTATAGAACCAGTAGCATCCCACCCCTGCAGGAAAGCCTTGCTGGCTGCAGCAAAGGAAATGGGCCAAGATGTGCAAGGCCTGGCTGCCCTATCTGAAGCTAAGAAATGGGGTAGCTCTTCCCCCCACCGCCATCCCCACCCTAGCTTGATTTTTACTGGTCCGCTCTGCAGTGGGCGGAGTCTTAATTAGGGCTTATTTTGGGGGGTAGGGCTTATATTGGGTGCATGTGAAAGTGAGTAGATTGTATTTTGGGGGAAAGACGGTAGTTGCAGCTATTAAAAGCTGATCACACATGCACAGTTCTGTCTGAAACTCTTAAGTGCATCATCCCATTGTGTAGGTGGCTGGAACCATGAAGCTCGAGTTAGCCCAGTACCGTGAAGTTGCTGCTTTTGCCCAGTTTGGATCTGATCTGGATGCTGCCACTCAGCAGCTGCTCAACCGTGGGGTCCGTTTGACCGAGTTGCTTAAACAAGGACAATACGGTAAGAGTCCTTTGGTGCCCGTGTCTAGTTGCCATTCAGAATTCTAGTCATCGTTGCTTCCTCTTTTTTTTAAAAAAAAATCCTTAAGAACAGAAAGTGTGCAAACATTTCTGCAATTTCTCTGATTACAGGTAGTCCTCAACTTACAACCTTTTGCTTATTGACTGTTCAAAGTTGCAATGGCACTGAAAAAAACAGAGTTATATGAGCCACAGTGGCGCAGTGGTCAGGGTGCAGTACTGCAGGCTACTTCTGCTGCCTGCCGGCTTCCTGCAATATATGCAATCCTTATCCTTTCTGTGCAATTCTGTACCTTTATGTCTGGCTTAGTAGGTTGTTTGACCCCAAATAATTGTGATTTTTTTTTTCCTTGTGGGTTACTGCAATTATAAATAAGACACAAGCCTGGCTACATACATAAGCTAATTTCTGGTTACCCGGGTAACAAAGGGATCAGCCACAAAAACTGAGGTCAATGAAGTGTAAGATATTCTCTTGATAAGTTTTGTTAGCGTTGTGTGTGTAGGAGAAGAGCAGGCTGAGCTGGAAGGCAGAATTAAATGTGTCATTAGCTTGGAGTCATTGCATTGCCACAAGAGACCCAAGTCCAGCCCCCCTATCAATTACACTGACCCGTAAAGGTAAAGGTTCCCCTCACACATGCTTGCTGGTCGTTTCTGGCTCTAGTGGGCAGTGCTCATCTCTGTTACAAAGCCAAAGAGCCAGCACTGTCTGAAGACGTCTCTGTGGTCATGTGGCCGGCATGACTAAACCCCGAAGGTGCATAGAACGCTGTTACCTTCCCACCAAAGGGGTCCCTATTTTTCTACTTGCACTTTTACATGCTTTCAAACTGCTAGGTTGGCAGAAGCTGGGACAAGGAACGGGAGCTCACTCCATCACGCGGCGCTAGGGATTCGAACTGCCAAATTGCTGACGTTTCTGATTGACAAGCTCAGTGTTTTTAACCACCGAGCCACCACGTCCCTCCCATTGACCCTTAACCTAGTGCCAATTTAGCTTCGACTTAGTTGGCTAGATTCTTGGGTATAGGTAGCAATAAACCCTATGCAAATGTTCCTGGTTATTTGCACCTTACAATGTATCAACTTTTTACATCCCATCCCATTTAAAGATGTGGTTTGGTGCTTTGTGGTCAAGTGAGCTGCTCTGGACTTGGATGTTTTGTCTCTTAGTTCCCATGGCCATTGAGGAGCAAGTTGCTGTTATTTATGCTGGAGTCAGAGGCCACCTGGACAAGTTGGAACCTAGCAAGATCACCAAGTTTGAACAGGCTTTCCTTGCTCATATTATAAGCAACCACCAGCCCCTGCTTGGCACAATCAGGTAAGGGCAACAGGGATCCCTCAAAAGGTTAAAAAGGGAGCGGAAATTTAGAAATGTTGGCTTCCTGGTACACCAGTTGTTCATTTACGATGTTGACAATTGCAAGACTTCAGTGTTGCAGAATATGGAGGGATGGGAAAGGGGCTGAGGAAGGCCTCTCTTCCAGTTTGTTTTGGTGAGAGTCGAAATGTTATTTCTTTCTTTTTTACTTCGACAGGACCGAAGGGAAGATCTCTGAGCAAACAGAAGCCAAGTTGAAGGAAATTGTCACACAGTTTCTGTCTACATTTGAAGCATAAACTTTTAGAAAGTTCTGTGCATCAGGATACCTCTGTCACTGACCGCTGGTATTGCTTAAGTTCCATTTTTCCACAAAGACTTCAAAAAATATGTGTGAGTTGAGTGTGCAGGTCTCAGTGAGAATTTACGGTTCCGTGCCAGCCTTCGACATAGTCCTCACCGTGATGGGATCTAGTTGACCGCTGGCAGGATTGCGTACAAACTAATGGCAAATAAAATCTTACAAACCATAGAAACTCTGCTCTGATTTTTTTTAGAGTCTTGTACTTAAAGGTGTGAAAATATTTTTCTTTATATTTTGTATTGGTACCGGATTTTTTGGGGGTGGGGGATAATGCAGTCCTAGGTTGCATTAACAGAGGGATAGAATCAAGATCATGTGAAGTGTTAGTACAAGGGGCCTTCAAACTTGGCAGCTTTAAGGCTTGAGGACTTCAACTCCCAGAATTCCTGAGCTAACATGACTGGAGGAGGAATTCTGGGAGTTGAAGTCCACAAGCCTTAAAGCTGCCAAGTTTGAAGGCCCCTGTGTTAGTACCACTTTATACTGCACTGGTAAAGCTATGCTTGAAACAGCAACAGATGGATAAACTGCAGATGTTGAGAGACTAGAAAGAGTGCAGAGAAGAGCAACAAAGATGTTTAGGGGACTGGAGATTAAAACATTACAAAGAACGATTGCAGGAATTGAATATGTCTAATCTAATGAAAAGAAAGACTAAGGGTGACATGATAACCGTCTTCCAATATTTGAGGGGCTACTACAAAGAAGAGGGAGTCAAGCTATTCTCCAAAGCCCCTGAAGGCAAGGAGAGAAAAAAACCTAAAACTTAGGAGAAATTTCTTGACAGAACAATCAGTGGAACAGCTTGCCTGCAGAAGTTGTGGGGTGTTTCATCAATGGAGGTTTGTAGGAAGAAATTGCGCAGCCAATTGTCCAGAATAATATCTGGAAGTCTGGAAATCTTCCAAGGTCCCCCCTAATTCTCTTACTCCGTAGCTGTTACCGATAGGCGCAAAGAACCAGAATCACACAGATAATATCAGCGTGGTATGCTTATTGCTACTCTCACCAGACAAATTGCATTCGCTAGAGAACAACTAGATTTAAAACATTTCCAAGTTTTAGGGAGAGTCTGCTTTCTGCCGTTCCTCCCTCTCAGCTATTTCAGCCTTCTCGGTCTTTTCACTCCTCCCCTCAATTTAGCTCCAGATTCCACCACAATCGCATCTTAACACCTAGTATGCACGTTTTACGCACAGATTTAACCATAATGGCATTTTATGTCTGGCTTAATATAATATAGCAATAGCACTTAGACTTATATACCACTTTACAGCCCTCTCTAAGCGGTTTACAGAGTCGGCCTCTTGCCCTCAACAATCTGGGTCTGTATATAATGTAATGTACAGGTATCCTCAACTTAAAACCCTTTTCTTTAGTAACCAAAATTGCAATGGCACCGAAAAAAAGGTGATTCGTGACTATTTTTTTCACATGATCATTGCAGCATCCCTACAGTCACATGATCAAAATTCTGATACTCGGCAACCGACTCATACTTACGACGCAGAGTCCCCAGGTTCAGGTCGTCGCCTTTTGCTCCCTGGGGAAACACGATTCACTTTGTAACCGTGTTACTAATTTCACAAGTGCAGAGATTCACTTAAAACAACCGGCTAGAAAGGTGGCAAAATGGGGGCATAAACTCAACTATCTCCTTCAGCAATAAATTCTGGGCTCCGCTGTCGTAAGTCAAGAGCTACCTATATCGGAGGTCTATAACTCAATTCCTGCTGGGAAATTTCAGGGCCTTGAAGTCTTCATCCCGTCTACTTCGGATGCAAAATTAGGGCTTTCCTAACCGGAAATGGTTCAGGGAAGCTGTGCCATTCCCCTCTTCCCACCCAAGTCATCTTTGATAGGGTCCATTGATGAGCAGAAGACCACGTGCTTCAGAAATGACCACATGATGCATGAAATCGCAAAAGCTGAATAGAGTCAGCAGCAGGAAAGAAAAAATCTTTGTCATTGACTCATCCTGCAAAGCATTTGGGAGACACGTTCCAAGTGAGTTTTCTTCTTCCTTCCTTCCTTCCTTGGCAGCTACGTGCTCAGTTATGTAAGACAGCGGCCTGCAACCTTTTTTGTGCCACGGCCCGGTACCGGCATCACAAAATGATCCACGGCCCGGTACTGGTATCAGCACACATGACCAAGGCAAGGCGAGCTGAGCGACCGGCCAGCCAGCCGTCCCCCGCTTCTCCCCGCCACCTTCAACTCCTCCTTTGTACCTTTTTTGTGCTTTCTTAATCTCCTCCGCCATCGGGACGGCTCTTCGTTCGAAGCCCCCCACCCCCCTTCGATGAAACTAAGGCGCAAAGATTCCTTCAGGACCCAAACGCCGCTTTCCAACCGGAAAAGCTCACCCGGAAGCACTTTCTCATCAAAACAAGATGGCGGCACACAGCAAACCAGCAGCCCGGTAGAAAATGATCCATGGACCGGTACTGGTCCAGGGGCCCGGTGGTTGGGGACCCCTGATGTAAGAGATCTTTCCATGGTTTATCACCTACCTGGGCTGTGGTTGGTACAATTTGGGCAAAACATGCAGCTGTCTTTTTGAGGAGCCAGGTAGAAGAATTAGAATTCTTTATTGGCCCAGTGTGATTGGACACACAAGGAATTTGTCTTCGGTGCATAAGCTCTCAGTGTACATTAAAAAAAATACATTCATCAAGACCCATAAGATACAACGCTATCTTGTGTCATAAGATACAACGCTATCTTATCTTAATCATAAGATATAATGCTGTCACTTAGTCATAGAATACTAAATAAGCAATCAAAATCATACTAGGAAACTAGTATTAAATAATTAGGATAAGTAAACATGATGATGAACAGAAAAAATTACTATTAAACAACATCCGGTTGTTTTAGCCACGGTAATTGAAGAAGGGTGGGTGTGAAAACCCACACACACAACCAAGATAGAAACTGACACCTGGATTCATACAGGAACTCTAACCATTATATCCAGCATTCCTTCCTTCTATTATTTTTTCTGATAATATGAATGAGAGGAGGGTCAGAAAATTCAAGCTGGGGGCCATAGCCTTGATATCAACAACCCCCCCCCCCCTGTTTTTACACACATCACAACCAGGGTGCATTTCCGTGACGTTTTCATCACCACCTGCACATGGTGTTTTCTCAGTTTAGTTTAGTTTATTGTCATTGCACCTCATACAACGAAATTAAATGCCATCTTCAGTGTACATTGTAACTAAAAAAATAAATAAAACACAAACACACATCCTTCTCATTTTATACAATTTAATTGAAACCCCCGGAAATTGCATTCATATTGCACTATAGAATTCAATAGAGTTACTGCCCTGGGATTAGAAGCTGTTTTTCAGCCTATTTGTTTTTATTATCCGGTACCATCTGCTAGATGGTAATAGTTTAAAAAAAAAAAAGGTGCCCAGGATGAAATGGATCTTTAAGAATGTTTTGAACTTTTTAAAGTTTGAGCACATTGTGCGGCTGGGGATGCTCCTTTGAATGGCCCTCCCTTCCAACAGTTTCGGTTGGGACCTGACTCTCCTTCCCATTTCTCTGTGAGGAAGTTTTTTTGGGATTATCAAAGAGGTTGCAGGAAATCATAAGCGGGGAACCTGTTTGGGTTTTCCCCATCTCGGATCTTGCTCCATAGACAGCGCTGGAGCTGACTGTCGTATTTTACGGGTAGATAAATCACTCTGAACCGAAGCTCAGCTCTGTTCACACCCGTTGCCGATGTCCCACAACAACGTCTCAACTGCAGGAAGGAAAGGGGACAGCAAAGGAGGCATGGAGTTACTCTGGAGTACATTATCTGTCACGGGAAGGACCTTCTCAAAGGAAACCGCTTCACTGAAGGAGGTAAGGAACAGCTGCCGTTGATCTTGGATGAAGAATTTAACTTCTAGCCATGTGGATCTGTCTGGGCTTGTCTAAGACACCCTCAGCCTGTGCAAAGCAAGGGACAGGCTTGGGATCTAGCGAAACAACACCCCAAATATCCTTTAGAAGAAGAAATCTTTCACGGCAGACACACAACGGGTCAAAAATCTTGGTAAGAGGAAAGCAAATGAATTTCATATGGAGAAATATTTGAAGGGGAAGGAATTGAAAGCCAGTCTTCCACATTATGATTTAAAAAGCAAGCAGGCATCCAACCCTAAAATGCGTCTTGGCTTCAGCCATCTTCCCATCAAGCGATTATATTTCTACCATACGCAGGTAGTCCTTGACATAAATGACCGTAATCAAGCCCCCAATTTTTGTTGCTGAGGTGTTTCTTAGGTGAGGTTTTGCCCCGTTTTATGACATTTCATGCCATATTTGTTAAGTGAAACCCTGTGGATATTCAGTGAGCCACATGGTTGTTAAGAGAAACCGGCTTCCCCGTGGACTTTGCTCGTCAGAAGTTCACAAGAGGGGATGACATGATCCCAGGACCCCGCCACTGACACAAATACGAGTCAGTTGCCAAGCATCTGAATTTTGGTCACAGGGCCATAGGGATGCTTCCGTGGTCGTCAGTGTGAAAAATGGTCGTAAGTCTCCTTTTTCCGTGCCGTTGCAACTTTGATGTTGTAACAGGTCACTAAATGAACTGTTTTAAGTCAAGGAATACCTGTAATTCACCAAGGTTAAAACTGAAGGCTAATTCTGACCCAGCTGAGCACTCCTAAGGCTTTTTTTAAAGCACCCCTCTTGCCTGCAATCCCATAAAGTTAGGGTCATAAATCAATTATTTCAAGGTACATTTTTAAATGCTGCCTTTCCTGGTCCTGTGTATGCTTCTTGCTTGGAGCGAAAGCTTTAAATGAAGGTTTCTCAACTAACATACGTGAATAGAATAGAATAACAGAGTTGGAAGGGACCTTGGAGGTGTTCTAGTCCAACCCCGCTCAGCCAGGAGACCCCACATACCATTTCAGACAAATGGTTGTCCAATCTTTTCTTAAAAGCTTCCAGTGTTGGAGAATTCACAACTTCTGGACTGGAGGCAAGTCATTCCACTGATTAATTGTTCAGGAAATTTCTCCTTATTTCCAGGATGAATCTCTTGTTGTTTAGTTTCCATTCATTATTCCTTGTCTGACCTTCAGGTGCTTTGGAGAATAGCTTAACCCCTTCCTCTCTGTGGCAGCCCCTCAAATATTGGAAAGCAGCTA